TAAGGAAACTTTCAAAATATGGAAAGTTTAAGAGAAACACAAATTCCACTTGCAGAAATTTGAAATTCTGCCTGCATAAATTTATAGGTGAAAGAATACAAGTGATAAATATGGAAAATTTATTGATAGAGGATTCTTAAAATCAATCCCATATATCACTCCAATCAATATTCTATCATAGGCTAAAAGCATTCCTATAATATTCTCATACCAATATTTTGTGAAGGAGTAATTTAAGGGGTTCCTATAATAATATTCTCCAACAAAAGTCTTAACAAATTAAGGTCAACTTTCAACCATTATGGAGTACTTCAACCTGTTTCCTTGTAAAAATCAATATTAGAAATCAGTCACTAATAGTCACAATTATTAAGAATTTCTATTCTTAAACGCAAAACAAATCATTATTTGAAATAAACTCAACTATTTTTTTTTAACAAACTTTTTTTGTGTATAGGCCAAGCAAAAATATTATTTATTATTATCATTGGAGAGGTGATAACATTATGCACTTTGATCCGAAATCAATAATATTCTTCTTTTTCGGAAAGACTATATATATATATATATATATATATATATATTTTTTTTTTTTTCGATAAGTAAAAATATATTAGAAAGCGTTCAAGAGGGGAACTCATCCCGGAAGCTATACAAAGGCTGAAGCCAAGAAAGGGGGCCTAAGGACCTAAGGTCTTAAGGAGCCCAAAAAATAAAAAATCTCCTCTATAGATTTACAATTTCTCCCCATCACCCAACTAAAAAGAGAACTAATAATAGTAAATTTCAAAGCCCAAATGGAAGATTCCTCCCCGTTAAAAGATCTTTTATTCCTCTCCTTCCAAATGCACCACCAAGCAAAAAAGAGGGCCGCCCTCCAAAAATCACGAGCGTGGGCTCCCACTAAGCAGCCTCTCCAATCATCAATCAAATCCCTAGACCGAGGCATAACCCAATGGATGCCGAACAAACCAAAAATAAGTCACGAGCGACATGGCAATGCAAGAGGAGGTGATCCACTGACTCCCCATCCCTCTTACACATGCAACACTATATTAAAAAGAGAACTAATAATAATAAATTTCAAATCCCCAATGGAAGATTCCTCCCCGTCAAAAGATCTTTTATTTTGCTCCTTCCAAATGCACCACCAAGCACAAAAGGGGGCCGCCCTCAAAAAATCACGAGCGTGGGCTCCCACTAAGTAGCCTCTCTAAGCATCAATCAAATCCCTAGACCAAGGCATAACCCAATGGATGCCGAACAAACCAAAAATAAGGTTCCAACAGTCTGGAGCGACATGACAATGCAAGAAGAGGTGATCCAGTGACTCCCCATCCCTCTTACACATGCAACACCATATTGATTGATTTTGGACCTTTTCTTTTAATGTTTGTCATTATTTGGTTGGAAAAATCCCATAAGTAGTCCTTTTTAAAGCTAGAAGAACATTAGCTGTATATTATATTATTTTTTATTTTCCCCTTCTCTTGAAGATTTTTTATTTTTATTTATTTATTTATTGATAAGGAAGATTGTATTAGAAAGCGTTCAAATGGGGAACGCAGCCTGCGAAAGCTACACAGGATCAAATAGGGCCCCTTGATTCTCAATAAGTCCTCAAAATCAACTGTCTCCCCCATGGATTTACAATGTCTCTCACGAACCCAACAAAAAAGAGAACTAATAATGGAGAACTTTAACACCCTAACATGAGTCTCCTCACCATTAAAGGATCTTCTATTCCGCTCTCTCCACAAACACCAACAAACACACAAAGACACTACCCTCCAAAAGTCACGGGCTTGGGAACCCACTTTACAACCTCTCCAAGCCTCTATCACGCCTCTCGAGGACCGAGGCATACCCCACTGAACCTCGAACAAACCTAAAAGCAAGTCCAATCTATCCCGGACCACTGGGCAAATGCAGCAGAAGATGATCTACCGACTCTTCATTTATTTTGCACATGTAGCACCAATTGATAATAACAACCTGTCTCCTCCTCAGGTTATCTAGAGTCGGAATCCTCCCTAGAACTATTGTCCAAACAAAAAAGGCACTCCATGGAGACTGCGATTGAATGGGTTGGAGTTTGATATGATTTCAGAGGAGGATAGAGGTAGATTGGAGGCTCCCGTTTATGGAAGAGGAGATCTTCTTAGCCTTGAGGAGTTGCAATGGAGACAAGGCTCTGGCCAGATGGTTTTACAATGGCTCTTTTCCAACAGAACTGGGAGGTTCTTAGGGAGGCAGTGTTGGTTTCTACTCTTTTCATAAGTTTGGTTGCTTTGAGAAGAGCTTGAATGCTACCTTTATTGCTCTTATTCCCAAGAAGGGTGGGGCCATTGATGTGAAGGACTTTAGACCTTGCTCATCAAATTTATGTTATGTGGACTTAGGTATGTGTACTTCTCAAAGGGAGGTCGGGGGTTTGAGCCTCAGTGGAGGCGTGTGTGTGAGTATCAACTAAGGAAAAAAAAAAAAAAAAAAAAGAGACACGGACACTTCTAAATGTTCATTTTATTTAGAGTAAAGTATTCTTTTATGTAATATAGTGATCAATATAGGCATTTAACTCATTTTAAAGTAATAGTATAATAAAATTGAATGATTGGATATGCTTTTTAAGTACGTGTCCAACCAAAAGTGTCGGACACATATCCCATACCCATGTCTGAGCGATATGTGTCTGAAATGGGTGCTTCATTACTTTTGAAGAGTCCATGTAACATAGCATCAAATCATCATAGACAACGCAGCTTTAAGATTTGCTGTCTGAGCCAAAAAAAAAAAAAAGTACTTGTGAACATCTGTACTCCAGATAACCTTGCAAGAAAAGGTCAAACCAACCCCAATTCTGAGAAATTTCTCTCGGAATCAAATTTTGATAGAGAACACCATTTTTTTTTAATTTTTATGTTCCCATGTACACAAGAGGCATGAACTGTGAAATTGACTGAGCTATACTATTGTCTCTCTCTAATATTCTACAAAATGTTCCATAAAAAAAGAAGGAACTTTCTGTGATCCATAAGGAGAGGAGGCATAGCAAATTATGTTTAATGGTCAAACTGCTCTTCTAAGTGGCTTTGCATGGAAACAGGGGTGGAGCCAATGTAGGCCTAGGAGGGGAACGTGCCCCCTGCCTGGCCCCCACCCACTATAATTTTTATAGCATTTTTGTGGGGTTTTTAAGTATTTATGAAATATTTGATAAAGTGAACCCCAACGCCGCCCCCCCCCCCCCCCCCCCCCCCCCCCCCTTCCTCTCAAAATTCTCTCAGACCTTTCTTTCTTTCACTCTTTAATTTCCTTAAAAAAGAAGTCAAATTTCCCTCTTGAATCAACCTCTAATTTTTTTCCTCTCAAAATTCTTTCATTTTTCTTATCCCTTTTTATTCCTCTTAATTTTCTTGTTTTTCATGTCATGCCACGTTAATTGATTTTTTTTTTTACGTTGTCCCCCCCAGCTACGCCCCTGCATGGAAATACGGAACTGCTTACCAAACTTACTGTGCTCTCTATCACCTCCAGCAATTTATAAGATGTCATTGTACCAGGAGTCACACAAAGAATTCCAAAGAGAGCAATTAGGGCCCATAGATCTCAACCCGACGCTGCCCCTCTACAGTTGGTCGAGCACACAAAATGTTATAAAAAATCTCAGTCTCCCCCTGATCTCATATGAATGTGAAGCATTCTAAAACTTTTACCGAGAATTGAATCATAGCCCTAGACTCTAATAGTCGGAGTACACTAAGGTGCGACTATTAGAAGAGAAGAAAGGTATGTGACACCAGGTTACCAGATTCTAAATCCAAGAATCCCCTTGTTACCTCTGGCTCAGACTCACACCAGAAGTTATCCTTGAACTCTGCTACTACCAATCAATGAATCCTGTCTTTCGTGATCAGCTCTTCAACCTCTTTGGTCTCCCTGACTAATCATGTCTGATTGTTTATTTGTTGTGTGGAATTGGTCGTGGTGCTAAGATCCTTGATGCTCTATAGTTTACATATATATATTTTTTGTTAAGTAAAATTTCATTAAAAGGTGCTTAAGAGGGAAGCGCACCTGAAAAAATTAGACAAGAATACAACTGTATGACCTTATGCTGTTCAAAATATCTACAAAATCCTGTACAGATATACAAGCTTTACCTGTAACTCAAAAGAAAAGAGAACTCAAAATATAGTTTCTTCAGCACCCACATCTGTGCTTCCACTCATGAACACACATCATCTATAGAAATGATGAATTAAACAATGTTATAGAAATTTTGTTGCTAAAAGCACTGTATATTGCCTCACAAAATTACATGATGCTGAAAGTTTGTTGGATGTTGTTTTTTGATGGCCTGCAGTTTTTTTATAGATCTTGTGGACTGAAAAATGATATTGGACTTTGATTCAGATGTGGATTCTATTGTTTTGCAACCTTTGATTGATTGAAGTACATGTTCAATCAGTTGAACCTAGTCCAGGTGACCTTTGATTGATCGAACTCAGTCCTGGTTGTATTTGGTTCTCAAAGCATTTAAATGCATTCTTGAGACATGCTTTGAAGATCAAAACCTGCAATTTGTAAATCCTAACATGTTTAATCACATGAATACATGTATTTGAACCCTAAACTGGTGAGTGGACAATATTGAGAGTTGAATTTACCTTTGTGCCTTTGTTAAGCTCTGAATTCTCTGTTTTTCCCTTGGACAGACGTAACTCAACTAGCTACTTAACTAATTTTGAAACATAAATGGAATTCATAATTCTAGATTACAGGCTTTGTTTTGTACAAAAATTTGATAACCAGTTGTATAAGTTAACATTTAGGTACTAGAAAAACTTTTTGTGAATTTAGTGCTCAAGCACATCAGTCTTTTTCCCAATAAAAACATGTAATAGTTAAATCTTATATATTTACTGCTTGATTAATGATTGAATTTACTTCTTGTAGACCAAAAATGAATATGTACTATGTGCTTTTTGCTAATATAGTTCAAATACGGTGCTTGTGGATGGGGCTGTTGTTCAGAAAGAAGAAACTGCTGTTATCAAGTGTGGAAGCGAAATTATTCCAGGTCCCTTTGGAGAAGGTAAGAATTTAGTCACTTTGATTTCACAAGTAATACAACACAAGAGGAAGTACAAGTAGTAATACAACACGAGGATAATTTTTGAAGCCTGGAAAAAAAGTAAGCAACAAGAGGATTTTGAGACATATAAAAACTCAAAATAAAAACTCAATTTTTTTTTTTTGATAAGTAAAGATTGTATAAAGAAGCGTTCAAAAGGGGAACGCATCCCTCAGAAAATACACAAGGCCTAATAGGGCCTCTGAACTCTCAGAGAGTCCAAAAAATCAACTATCTCCTCCATGGATTTACAATATCTTCCTATAACCCAACAAAAAAGAGTGGTAATAATAGAGAATTTTAACTCCCCCATAGGAATCTCCTTCCCTTCAAAGGACCTCCTATTTCTTTCGACCCATAAACACCACCAAATGCAAAGAGGCGTAACCCTCTGTTAAAATTGAATAGAGAAACAAAGTATAAAGAACATAAGGCAAGAATATATGTGGTTCAACCACTGTGGCTTACATCCACGGCACACAAAGCCCAAAGGGCTACATATATTTTATTATAATAATCTCTCTTTTTATGCTCAATAAAATGGTGAAGACTCCTTTATATAGGTTAAGAAATAATGAGAATGGAAAGAGATAGATATAGGAAACAACATCAATATTGAAAGATTTTTCTCCACAAATTCCTCCAGTATCTTCAATAAAAGGAAACATCAATAATGGAGGATTTTCCTCCATTGATTCCTTCAATAACAAATATAACAATAAATCTTCAACAATAGGAAAGAACATCAATACTGGAAGATTTTCCTCTATTGATTCTTCCAGTAAATCTTCAACACTCTCCATACATCACTGACTTGGGCCTCGCCAAGCCTCAATCAAATTTCTGGGGGATCTAGGCATAACCCACTAAACCCCAAACAAACTCAACAGTAAGACCCAACAATCCCAAGCCACGGGGCTATGCAGAAGAAGGTGATCAACCGTTTCCCCATCTAACACCAATTGACCACTACCTTTTTCTCCTTCTTAAGTTGTCCTGGGTTACGATCTTCCCTAACACCGAAGTCCACCCAAAAAAAGCCACTTTGAGAGCGGCCTTGGATCTCCAAATAGCCTTCCATGGGAAAGACTCCCCATGGGCTTCCGTAATGCACCTGTAAAAAGACCGAACGCCAAAACAACCCTGGGAAGAAGGAACCCACACCCATAAGAAACATCGCCCATAAATTCCTGTTTGTACACCATTTCCAAAAGACCAATGGCATCCTCGATCTCCCAATCCTGAAAGTGTCACAAGAAACCAATGTCCTAAACTGTTATCCCACTATCAAGACAATAGCAGTCAGTCATAAAAGCATGTTTGTCCACAAGAATCCTAACAAGCTTGGAAAAGGTGATGGCCAGAGAATGATCACCACACCAAATATACTCCCAAAAGCGGATCCTCCTCCCATCCACCACTCAAAATCTAATGTGTTTTGAGAATTCATCCCACCCTTTCTGGATGGACTTCCAAACCCCAACACCGTAAGGGATACTTATCTTCTTGGAACACTAACCACCTCTCTCCTCCCCAAATTATGCCTCTCCACCCAAATCTCCACAACCACTTGCCCAAAAGGGCCTTATTAAAAGGTACCAGCCTTCTAATGCCCAGACCACCAAAACGAATTGGACTGCAAACCTAATCCCAATGAACCAAATGAAACTTGAACTCATCCTCCATCCCACCCCAAAGGAAATTACGTTGTAGCCTCTCAATCCTCTCAGCCACAGAACAAGGAATCTAAGAAAGAGAGAGAAATAGGTTAGAAGACTCGACAAAGTACTCTTCATCAAAGTGACTCTCCCACCTTTTGAGAGATACTGCATCTTCCACCCAACCAATCTCTCTCAAACCTTTCCAAAACAGGGTCCCAATATCCCACTCGCCTCGACAACGCCCCAAGTGGCAACCCCAAATGAGAAATGGGAAAAGAGCCAATGTTGCAACCCAGAATGTCAGCAATAGTGGAGATCTCCGAACCTCCCTAATGGGAACCAAGACACTTTTACCCACGTTCATCTTTAAGCCGGAAACGACTTGAAACCATGCCAAAAGACAGCTCAAGTACCTCATCCGAGTCTCATCCGCATCACAAAAAACCAAAGTGTCATTTGCAAACATCAAATGGGATATCTCCAACTGACTAAAAACATCTCTGCTCATCCGAAAACCTCGCAAGAAACCCAAATCCACGACCCACCTCATCAATCTGCTGAGGGCCTCCATCACAAAGAGGAACAAAAATGGAGAAAGTGGATCCCCCTGTCTTAAGCCCGTCGAACTACTAAAGAATCCCGTTGGAGAGCCGTTCACAAGGACTGAGAAACGAACACTAGAGATACAAAACTCGATCCATCTCCTCCATCCCTCACCAAATTCCATCCTCTCTAATAAATAGAGAAGGAAGCTCCAACTAACATGATCGTAAGCCTTCTCAATATCCAGTTTGCATAAAACGCCTGGGATCCCACTACATAGTCTAGAATCCACACACTCGCCAACAATAAGAACGGTTTCTAAAATTTGACGGCCTCCAACAAAAGCGTCCGAGAATCCGAAATTACCCCATCCAAGACATCCCTCAACCTCAACGCAAGGACCTTGGCTATTAATTTGTAAATGCATCCCACCAAACTAATAGACTTGAAGTCCTGCACATCAAACCCCCCCCCCCCCCCCCCCCCCCCCCCTCCCCTCTTAGGAATGAGTGCAATGAAAGTGGCATTCAAACTTTTCTCAAAACGGCCTGAGAGTGGAAAGCATGAAAAAGTACCCATCATCTCTCCTCTACTAAAAAAGGAACCTCATAGTGAAACCATCTGGACCCGGTGCTTTGTCTCCATTACAGCTCTTCAGCGCATTCAACCCTTCTTCTTCAGAAAAAGGCCTTTCCAAACCTACACATTCTGCACTAGAAATCGTATCGAACTGCAAACCCCCAAGCAAAGGTCTCCAACTATGAGTCTCTGTGAACAACTTCTGATAGAAAGAGGCAACACCCCCTAAAAACCTCTTCTTCCTTGCATAACATCTCTCCTTCCATGCATATCCTCTCAATATGGTTACCTCTACGATGAGCATTTGCAAGCCTATAGAAGAACTTCGTGTTTCTATCCCCCTCCTTAAGCCACACGACTCTAGATTTCTGCCTCCAAGAAATCTCCTCCAAGGTGGCAATCTCTGCGTTGCACTCCACCCTCTTATTCGTCAAAGCCTCCTCAAGGTTACCCATAACCCATCCCCTTCTTCCGATCAATATCTGCAATCTTAGAAAAGGCACGATTCTTCCTCCATTCCAAGTTCCCAAAATCATCCTCATTCCATTTCTTGATGTCTTCCTTCAAAAGCCGCATTTTACCCGCCAAAATAAAACTCGGGGTATCGCTCACATCATAACCTTCCCACCAAGAACGAACTCTCCTAGAGAATCCCTTTGCACGAAGCCACATATTCTCAAAACGTAACGGAGTGCTTGCTTCTCTTGCGCATTCCACCACAATCCAAAATCAAGGGAAGGTGATCAGAAATTGGTTTAGCCAACGCCGCCTGAACAACATCTGGAAACTTCTCCTCCCAATCTCCAGAAACAAGGAATCTATCAAGGCGAGAGAGCGTAAGAGACAAACGACCACTAGACCAAGTGAAGGATGCACCCTTTAGCGGTAAATCAATCAACTGACAACCGTCTATGAACCCTAAGAATTACTCCATGTCCGAAGTCCACCTTCCCCCTGACGACCTCTCCATTGGAGCCTGAATGGCGTTGAAGTCCCCTCCAACACACCAAGGAAGTGTCCATCTCCTCCGGATAGAACTAAGTTCCGCCCACAACTGATGAAGCAATCCATCATCAGTCAGGCCATGAACTCCCGAAAAAACCCATTGAAAACCATCCTCCTTCATAGAAAGCATAGAATGATTTGGAGATGGCATTAACAAGATTGTACTTAGCAATTTGATTGTTAATTTGTTATAAAACAAGTATAACCTCCCCATCCTCAAAGTGGAGGGGAGGGTTCAAGCCCCGTATGTACTTGATAAAAAAAAAAAAAAAATTCATGTCTAGTGGGCGTGTCTTCCGTTTTATGATACATGGGGTTCTAGCACTTCTTTATTATTGTTGGGTTTTTTGGGTCTCCAATGCTTGGAGAGTAGTCGCACATTTAAAAGTTCATAAAGTGTGGCTAGGTTTGTATTCATAGGTGAAGAAATACAATATTTTGTTGAATTGGTATGTGAATCTGAAATTGAAGATTTTGCTCCTAATTAATTACCTAAAAAGGTCATAATTTAATTACTTTTGGAATTTATTTTATTTTATTTTATTATTATTATTTTTTTGCTTTTCTTTTTTGAGTTTTGTTGTCAAATTATTTATTAGGCTAGGTGGCAAAATTTGAATCCTTTTTCAAAATCATTTTGGAAAAATTTCTGGAAAGCTAATTTTGCTTAGTGTCTTCCAGTCAGTTTAAATACCCTATGTTCATTGTAAAGCTTCAGAATAACCTAAATTCATTGTAAGATTTAGAGGTTCGGGTCTAGGATAAAATATTATTGCTGGACTGTAGACACAGTCTCTTTGGCTCCCGTTCTGCTGTCCTGTTCTCATAACTAATTAAGATTCTAGTTGTAATCTTGCAGCCTTCGTGATATAATTTTAACCCTCACTACCATTGAGACTCCATAACATCCTAACATGAGACTCTTTACAGCCATCCTTGGAATTGAAAAGTGTGCTGTCTTCCTATGTATCGTTTGTGTTGATAGCTACATGTCTATTACTGAAAGCTGCCATGTGAAATGTAATATGTTGGACTTGGTTTTAATCATCTCACATGCATTACTTATCTCCTTCTATGTTTCCTTTTGATATCATCAGGATATTTGAGTTACAGATTTAAGTTAATGCCTATAGAGGAGTCTTGCGAGAAACAGCTAAAGGTGAATATCATCAACTTCATCAGCGTAAAAGTTTTATTTGAATTTTTTGTGGTTGATGTATGTGGATGCTGATGATTAATCTCTGTTTGGTGATGCTAGATTTGTTTAGATGTTGAGCATGCAAAATGCAGCATTTGTTTAAACATTTGGCATGACGTTGTCACTGTTGCCCCTTGCCTTCACAACTTCTGGTACGTAACTTCGATATGATTTCTATTCTAGTTTTAATTTAACTCATTCTCATTATGATTAAGTTTTTATTATGTTGGCAGCAACGGTTGTTTCTCAGAGTGGTTAAGAAGATCTCAGGAGAAACGATCAAGTGTTCTTTGTCCCCAGTGTAGAGCAGTTGTTCAATTTGTTGCAAGAAACCATTTTTTGCATAATATTGAAGAGGTAGTACCTTGTGATGGTCCATCTTACAATCTCCAATGTTTATGTCAGTCTTGGTTCTCTATTCTTCTTGATGTGGCTAACTAGACGTCAGTGTTGTTGAATTTGTTATAATAGAGATGTGGTCCATGTGGACAACAATATGTGTATCTAGCAGAGTATATTTCTTCTTTATATTTCTAAGTAAAAGTTTCTGATGTTAGTGTTAGCTATGCTTACACCGTTTTTTTTCTTCTTTTTGTCTATAATATCTGTGATTTTGTGGCCTGAATTTGGTTGCTGGTTGCATCCCGTTTTGACTCGATGACCCCGTCGATTGAGCTTTGTGTGGGCCCAAGATTTTTTGACTCGTTTTTGCTTGCGGGTCGTGGACCGTGTTTATTACTCTCTTGTAGCTCGATATATAAGGGCGTTTAGGGTTTGGAGTGGGATATTGAGAGACATTGAAAATCGCAGAAAAGAGAGTGAGAGCGAGAGCTAGGGTTTGGGGGTTAAAACTTCTAATTACCTAATTTTCAAATTATACACCACTATGTCATCCAAGTATAAAACAATTGTGTCAGGGGCTTATTTGTTATTACTTATATAATGTTGGGTGCTTATGTGTAATTTCTGAAACTTGTTAGTATAAATAGAATATGGTGGAAGGATGAAAGTATTCTTTTATTCTTTCTCTGTTTCCCCATCTCTCTCCTCCTCTTTCTTCTCTTCTTCTTCATCTTCTTCTACTTTACTATTATTTTTTAGTATCTTTTAAAGTCAACATGGTATCAGAGCTTGGTTTGTAAAGCTCCAGGGCGTGTAGTTGAAACCCTTGGTCAAGTTTGTGTAAACCTTAGGGGGTGTGAAGGGTTTTGAAGAGATTCTAAGATGAGATTTGTTTGCAAGGAAGTAGTGTTCATTACATCCACACGTACTGCGGATCCAAGTATTTTTTTTTTTTTGACTTGTTTTTGATCGATTGCAGTCTCGATCGGTGTTTTTTTCGTGTTTGCGTGGTTTTGCAACAACTTTTTGTTCGTCGTTTGCAATTCTTGTATGTTCTACTTTGTTGCTTTCTAGGGTTTGTATGGTGACTATGTGGTCGCTTTTTATGCATCTTAGAAGACGGTAATCTCTCTAGTTACAGTCATTTGTGTGTTAGAGAGGTGGTTCTCTACATACTTTGTTGCTGTTAGGGAGGTAAATTTGTTGCAGTTTCTGAGGAGTATACACTCAGAAACTATTTGATAAAATGTCTCGCTTAGAGGTGACTTCAAAAGAATCTGGGTCTTCTCCTAGTGTTAGTGGAGGAAGTAGTGATCATCATCCAGGCCTTTGTATTACGACTGTTAGGTTGGATGAGACGAACCATATGGAGTGGGCTCAATCTGCTTGTATGCATATCACTGGTCGTGGGATGATTGATCATATTGAAGGGCGTGTCACGTATCGAAGGGCTATGTCTGCACCTGAATACACTATGCCCGAGTCAAAAGTGTTGCCCAAGCATTGACTTGGGGGGGGGGGGGGGGGGGGTGAATAGAGTCTATGGCAAACAATGGCCAATTTTCAGTTTTGCAAATTTTACTAAAACCTTCTAACAATTATGCAATAATCAATATATAGGCATAAGCAATTAATAGCATAAATGTAAAGGAGATGAGGAAAGAGAGATTTGCAAACATTCACACGGCGATTTTAGCGAGGTTCGGAAACTCCTACTCCTCGGCTCAAGACCTCTCTTGAGACTTCCCAATCCACTATGGCACCTCCTTACGGGTGGAGAGCAAACCTTTACATGAAACAACTCCTTGCTTCACTTTACTAAGAGACAACCTCTCTTAGTCTTTCTTTGGGTCACACCAACCCTTACAAATTGAAGCTAGCTTGCTTCTTCCTTAGGCCACACCAGCCCTTACAAATGATTGAAGATCAGAATTTTAGTACACAATAATCTCTCACAGATTTGATGTACAAAGTTTAGCTCACTCTAGAGTATATATATGAATACAATGAAGCACAATACTCTTCTAATGATATGGGATGTATGAATAGAAGAACAAAAGCTCTTTGGATGCTATATGATGTTTTTCTATGGTAGCAACACTTAATCCCGAAGTCTCCAACTCTATTTATAGAGTTATGATGCAGCTAATTCAAAAATATAGCTGTTGTGCACGCGGTTCAAGGCAAAATAGCTGTTCAGATTTGAATATGCACTAAGTCGGTCGACTGAAATGAATCAACACTTTGTTTCGGTCGTCCGAAATGATAGGATGCCTTTGGACCATTTTATTTCGGTTGGCCGAAATGAATAGGCTTTTTATTTCGGTTGTCCGAAATAGCCTGAGGCCTTGCTGCATAACTACTGCCCAAACCGGTCGTCCAGAATGATTTGCCTATACATTTCGGTCTGCCGAAATGAAACTGCTGCTTCAGGAATTTTGTTCTAAGTTAACAGATGAGACAGTTTTTCTACAGGACATCTGCATATACCTTATCTCCATTGAAAACGTTTAAGTAAATGTTTATATGTCCATTTACTTTAAGTTTACAATGTAAATAAAGAAGTACCCCCCATTTGGATTCAATAAAAAATACTAGAAAATTGAAATCCGACTAATCAAAATGTAGAAATTCAGTTTTAGTACAAATTTGGATTTTCGACAGTTTTGGTAGAAATGAATCCTTATGTAGACCAATGTAGACTTGGTCAAAACTTCTGATAAAATCAGTTTAGGCTAGTTGAAGTATAAAGAGTTATTACCGGGAAAAATTATTTTGAAATGATCATTATTTCAAAAATCTATTTTTCACACTTGGCCAAAAACATAGTTTTTTATGACGCACATTCTGGGGCCCTAATGTCCGTTACCAATTCATGGTAATGAAGGCTTCTCATATCTTAATTGTTGACCAATATGAATTATATGATTGATGTGCATGGTCTTAGCATTTCTAGCATAAGTGATGAGTTCTTTCAAAGCTTATGCAAGCTTGAACTAACTCACTCTTTAGCAATGACTTCATGTGCAATTATATATGAATGAAGTGCATAGTCTATTGCTAATATATATAGGAACATATGAATGATGATATGATATGCATGATCCTATAGAGATGAGCTTCAAATGGATTCATAAATACTTTGACATTGAATCCTAAACACTCACCATCCTATTTACCCCTTTCTTCAAGCTTTGTCCATGACCTTTAGGCTTTGAGGTAGTCTTGTTTTCTTCCTTCCTTTGAGTTGCTTGCTTTCTTCCTTCCTTTGAGTTGCTTTCTTGCTTATTGTAGTTCAAGCTATCTTTGGATGGACTTTGCATTTGGTTCTTTGCAACTTCATGTTCCTTTGTCTCCTTTGTTTTCCATAGATGTGATCTTGAGTAATGAAATACTTGGAATGATCTTTATAGCTTCATTGAGGTCATTCTTTGAATGTGAATAATCTATATAACACTCAATGTAAACATTAGTCCTTAAACACCATTAATGGTTTGTTACCATCAAAACCTCTAGATTGTCCTTGGATAGAGTCTTTAAGGTCAACAAAAAGTACCATTGTCTGAAAGGTCTGCTCTTGCTACACAACAATGAAACAAACCCAACCCTCCAAAAGGAGGGAAGCGGGATGATAAGAGCAAGTTGAGGTGTGATCACTGTGGGTGTACGTGCCACACTAGGGAAACCCTATTCTAGCTCCTGGTCATGCAAATGCTAGGGCAAGGCTTGGTCCATTTAGGGGGTTATCTACAGCTCATTCTGCAGCGCATGAGACTAGTTCTACAAGTCATGCCTTCTCAAGGTCACTAAGTTCTTTGTTCGGGGTTGAAGTTGATGCTCTTCGACATATGCTAGCTCAAAATGCCTCCACTTCCACCTCTAAATTTGCTCAGACAGCTCTCATTTGACACATTAAGTTTCCACATTATCTAGTGGGCCACCCTGGATCATTCAGGAGCCACTGATCACATGACTAATATGGCATCTGATTTCTCTTCGTATAATTTATGTTCTGCTAAGGATAAGGTTAGAGTGACTGATGGCACCTTCACCTTCATTGCGGGAAAGAGCGCTGTTTCTACCTATCCTAATCTTGCTTTATCCTCTGTTCTTCATGTTCCAAAGTTTACCAATAACCTTCTTTCTGTCAGTCACATAACAAAAGGCTTGAATTGTAGTGTAACCTTTTTTCCATCTCTCTATGTGCTTCAGGATTTGGATATGGGGAAGACGATTGGGAGTGGACGTAAGGACAATGGCTTGTATTTGATGAACGCAAGACCAACTTCTTATTATGTAGCAAATCAATCTAGTGTTAGGAATAGTAATGCCAATAAAGATCTGTTAATGCGATGGAATAATAGACTAAGTTATTTACCTATTCATGTTTTGAAGCATGTGCTTCCCCAATTTGCTTCTATTGAATCTTTCAAGTTAAATTGTGAAACATTTGTTCTTGCCAAACAATGTTGTGTTTCTTATTCTACTAGTATTAATGAAAGTACAGCTCCTTTGCAGCTTGTTCATTATGATGTGCGGGGTTCTGAATCTACTACTTCGTTACTTAGTTTTCGCTACTTTGTTGTGTTTGTTGATGGCTTTAGTCGTTATACTTGGCTTTATCTTATGAAAACCATAGATGAAGTTCATTCCATTTTTAAACCTTTCATAAGATGATATGTCCTCATTTTGGTTTTCCCCTAGAAATCTTTTGATCTGATAATGGAGGGGAGTTTATGTATGGTGGTCCTGCCTCCTTTTTTGCTGATAACGGGATTGTCCATCAAACCTTTTGTGCTAATACACTATAACAGAACGGTGTAGCTAAAAGAAAACATTGTCATATTACGGAGGTAACCCGTTCTCTTTTTGCCTAAAAGTTATTGGGCTGATGCAACCTTAACCGTTGCATACTTTTCAAACGCATGCCTTCTAGGGTTCTTGGCTATCAATCCCCCTTCTCTGTCCCTTCGAAAGTGTTTGGTTGTGTTTGTTATGTTCACATTCATCATCGTAAGGACAAAATGGACCCTAAGGCAATCCGGTGTATCTTTCTTGAATACTCTGCCACTCAAAAAGGGTATCGGTGCTATAATCCTACCACTTGTTGTCGGTTTGTCTCCATGGATGTTACATTCTTTGAGTCTGTTCCTTTTTTTTTCATTGCTCAGGATTCTTTACTAGGGGAGACTACTATTCGTGTAGAGAATCTGTCTTCCATTAAGAGGGATTGCCTCCTTTCATTGCCTATTCCAATTGAGGGGTAGCCCGTTCTCATTCAGGGGAAGCTTCTCAATGAGGTGCCTATGTCTACTCCTCCTAAAACTAATGATTTACAGCACGGAAAGCAGCCAATTATCTATACTATGAGGGCAAAACAAGTCAATGACTCACCCCAGGACCAAGAAGTCTTCCTCAATCCAGGTATTCCCTCAGTTCACATTGGTACTCTTATTCTTTTCCCAATAGCATTCCTGTTGATCTTGATGTTCCTATTGCCAATAGTAAGGGTGTTCGTAATTGTACAAAACATCTCATATCTTAGTTTGTATCCTATGATGCCTCATCTCCAACATATCGTTCTTTCACTTCGTCTATCTCGTCTGTTTCTGATCCTTCTAGTGTTTCAGATGCTCTCAGTTTGTATTGTATGATACTCTTAGTCAAAGTCCATGGAAGGAAGCCATGCTTAATGAAAGGAATGCTCTTGAGAAGAATGGAATTTGGGTATTGTTTTATTGCCTAGGGGTAAGAAACCAGTAGGTTGCAAATGCTTTACACAATAAAGTATCATGCATATAGAACAATTGAGAGATATAAATCCTAGTTAGTTGCAAAAGGGATTCACTCAGACCTATGGGATTGATTATCTGGAAACATTTGCTCCAGTTGCCAAGATGAACTATATACGTGTTCTTTCTTTGGTAACTAATTTCGATTGTCCTTTGCATCAGGATGTAAAGAATGTTTTCCTTCATGTTGACTCGGAGGAAGAGGTGTATATGAGTATGCCACCAGGTTTAAGCTTGCCAATGGTCGGAATTTAGTGTGTAAGCTAAATAAAGCCTTATATGGGTTAAAGCAGTTGCCGAGTGCTTGGTTTTAGAGGTTCAACACTGCTGTGAAAAGAGTAGAGTACACAGAGTCAGGCAAATCATACTCTCTTCATCAAGAAGCACTAGGGTTGCACCACTGCCCTTATTGTATACGTTGATGATATTGTTGTCACTGGAAATATCCAGAAGAGATTTATCAAATGAATTCATTCTTACGGACAGAGTTCGAGGTTAAAGACCTTGGATCATTAAGATACTTTCTTGGCATCGAGGTGTGTAGATCCAAAAAAGGGGTGTTCATTTCTCAACGGAAGTATGTGTTAGCTTTGTTGGCCGAAACCAACAGGCTTGGAGCTAGACCTATTAATATTCCCATTGAGTAGAACCATAGGCTTAATGATGCGGATGGCAACCCATTAGATGACATGGGAAGATTTCTTGGGAGATTGATTTACCTATCTCTCACGCTCCCGGATATTGCCTACGTTGTTAGTGTGATTAGTCAGTTTATGCATGCCCCACGTACACCTCATCTTGAGGTAGCTCATCATGTTCTCAGCTACCTCAAGGGTTCACCGGGTAAAGGGATATTGTTTGGCCGTCATGGCCACTTGCATGTTGAAGCCTATACAGATGCTGATTGGGTAGGCGTTGTGACAAATCGACGATCTACTTCAGGATATTGCATATTTGTTGGAGGTAATCTTATTTCATGGCGAAGTAAGAAAGAGTCAGTAGTATCTAGATCTAGTGCAGAGGCTAAGTTCAGATCCATGGCACATGGAGTTTGTGAGTTATGGCTACGAAATATGTTAGATGAGTCATGTGGTGGAGGGACTAGCTCATCATCGGGCAATTCTAGCAACGTGGCAAGGTAGCTAGTCTCCCCCTTCTTGAAGTCCTTCTTGAAGGTATCAAGGGCTTAAATAGCTTCTATAATAAAATTCTCCAACTATTTCCTTGAGTCATCTTCATAAATTTAGAGGTAATTGGCTTTTTAAATGACAAAATAATAAGAAAAAGTACAAACTCCGGCTTTTGTTACGAAATATGCCAACCTATGGGCCATGACAATAAGTCCTAGCAAGAGAGAGAGTTCTTGTTGATTATTTTATATGTAATTACCATTTAGAATTTCATTTTTTTCAAAGCATGTACCCTCGTTTTGTTTCTATATTTGTCTAGGCCTATTGAAAACTCTATGGTTTTTCAAATTGTTTGTTGTTTGTTTCTGCAGGGTATACTGCATGCAGATTCTTCCCTAAAACGTCCAATTGAAGAAGTTGCACTTCTAGATTCATATACGTCAATAAAGTCACCTCTTGTAAGTAGTGTTGTTCTTAATGAAGTTGACAAAGGTTTATGTCGCTAAGCATATCTCATTTTAAGGTCACTGTATGTAGCACACTATATGATCCACATAAGTGTATTTTATGAGATGCCTTGAATTCTAGGTTCTTCGCTTTCACTTTGTATTAACAGCTTACAAATTACTATGTCAATATTGACATTGCATTATTATGATAATATTTAAGAGTTTTGTGCTCTTCGGGGCCTTAAATTATTGAATCCCATATGAAATTATTGAATATGGTACAGAAACTAAGGACCAAAAAGCTAAACAATATAAAAATGGATTTCCCATAAGACAAATCTAACTCAGGTTTTATTCAGGAAAAAAAAAAAAAAAAAAAAAAAATCAGGTTTTAGTTATTACTTGAATAAGCCACGAGATAACACAATTCATTCTTAGCTGTGAAAATTTCAGGTTGATGGGGAGAGACAGTTGCCAATTCAGTGTTCTGAAAACCAAAATATTTCCTGTTTTTGTTCTAACACCAGAATCCTAACATGTAGAGTTCGATCCTGGCTCAGGATGAAAGCTGGTGGCGTGCTTAATACATGCAAGTCAGGCAGGAAGTGGTGTTTCCCGTGGCGGACGGGTTAATGGGTTGTGTTGTTCAGATATGGATATTCAAGTATATGTGTCAAGTTGAATGAGAAATCTTTTTATTCATGTCAAGAACCTTTGACGCAAACATGACCTCTCTCTCTCCCTCTATATATATATATATATATATATATATATATCTTTTGATAAGTAAAGTATCATTAATATAATGCAATGATTATTAAGATTGTATTGTGAATGGTTTCTCTATTGTGGTCATAGAATGGATTACATGGTGTCCTAGATTCTCTGAACTAGAGAGTCTATGATACCTTTGAGTCAGGGTTGCACCTCGATCCGGCAAGAGCTAGTGCTACTGGTTGGGGATGCGACAGTGTTAAACTTTGAGACCCAGCATTTAGCTCAGTTGTATCTGCTCATCTCATATGGGAGGTTTAGGGTCCGAGACACCCAAAGGACAATAGTGGGTGCACATGTTTCAGGCATCTGCATCATATCTACAAAAAAACTATTAAAATTTGACTGTTTGCTTGTTTTATTATATCTTATTGTAGGTCATTAACAGTTGGAAAAAGCGTCAGCTGAAGAGGCTACATTCAGCATCAGATGCAGAAGATGATGTTGTGGTGCTTCCATGCCCTCAGTGTGGTAATTAATTGATTTTTTGAGATCCTCTATAGGGTTAGTTTAGCATAATGCTTGGTGCTTCATATTATAGTTATATTTTTTTCAAGGTTAAAGTGCAAAAACCCCCCTGTTATATACAGAATGTGCAAATACCCCCTGGTGTTCAAAAAATCCCCCTACATTTCCAAATTGAACAAATAAGGACATTTTGTCCATTTGTAGACTAAAATACCTAAATGCCCTTAAGAAAAAATAAAAATAAAAGCCCTTATTTCAGTCTTTAAGGGTATATTAAGAGTATTTTGGGTTTATAAAAAAAAGTTTGTCATCGACTGTCAATAGATATTAGGGGGCAATTTGCACATATTTTCAAATGTTAGGGATTTATATGCACATACTAAACTGCAGGGGTGCTTTTTTACATATTTTTTATACAGCAGTTTGTTTCTTTTTTTTTTTTTTTTTTTTTTGCACTTTACCCTTTTTCAATCCATCAGCTTAACTCAATCTTCAGAGAATCTTAAACGTCCCTCTAATTGGATATTCAGTGGATGCAAGTCTCTGACTTAAGAATCTTTGATGGGAAGAAATTTGTCGTGCGTTTTTCATTGTGATTTCTTTAACATTTTTTTAGTTCTATTCTTTATTTTTGAACTGACTGGTATGCATCCCTCAGGCACTGATTTTGCTGGGTTCCAGTGCAACCAGAATACCATCCATCTACAATGTCAAGCATGTGGAGGGATGATGCCTTCTAGAACCAATATAACTGTACCACAGCACTGTAAATTCTTGTCTACGTACTCGTGGTTGTTGTTACTTTACTTTTTAAAAATGTGTTTTCTGTTGAACCGCTGGTTATGCTTCTTTTTCAATGGTCAGTATGGCTCTTGAAAACATGCTACAGAAGTGGTTGCTTGTAGCTTCGTTTGTAAGCTTAACTTCAGTTTAATTTAAATTTGATCCTATAATAGTTATTCTTCGAATGGGATACAAAATTTGTAAATTAATAGAATTAGTAGTTATACCTTTTCCCATTCATTATTAAATTTTGTACAATGCTCTGAACAATCATAGATGGTTTCGAGTTTAATTTCTTAAACTTCAATGAAAGATAATTGTACCTGTCATGCATGGAAAAAGATGCAATTGTTTTCTTTAACAGAGAAGGTTGAGGCGGGGTGTTTTTTTCACGCTTCAAAATTATTTTCAAAAATTGTGAGAGAAAGTTGTACATTCTATAGAGTGAAGTCTATTACTCTACCAATTTGGAGTTGATTGCGAATACCCTTTTTTGGAAGAGAATAAAGAATTTTCTAGTCAACTCAAAGTATTGGAATCATTAGTCTCATTTGTAAGCTTTACCAAGTTAAAAATCATGGACATATATGATGAGTTTTACAAGGATTCTCATAAATATTTAAGGGTATAAAATCTCCCCTCTTGCAGGTTTAGGATGTGATCGAGCATTTTGTGGTGCTTATTGGCATGTTGAGGGGGTTGTTGGAGATGATTCTCATCCGGTGTGCAGTCGTGAGACTTTCAAACCAGTATGCTCTAACTTTTGGTTCTATAGTTTTTTTTTTATTCCATCACCATCCCCCACCCAAATTTGTTTTCCTGGAAAGACGAAACAGATAACAAATAACTTTTTCATTCCCCGTGTTCTTTTGATTTTACATTTACCTGAGATTCATTATTAATGATGGCACAATAGTGTTTTGCATGCATATCAATCGGAAGGTTGATGTCACTGGTCCACATCTTTTTATATGTTAATGCATTCCAGTGCTTTATATGTTAATGCATTCCAGTGTTTTACTGTTTTGGCTGTTCCCATTGGAAGGGTGGGTCAGTTAGACTTGCTCACATGGAAACCGAGTTATATTGTGCACATACAATAGACCAAAAGGGGCCAGGTCAGACCAGAACTGGGGTGGGGGGTAGATATTGTAAATATCTCTCAAAGAAGAAGAAAGAGAACCAGTCGCATGTGTTATTCAATCATATATGAAATATAATATAAAAAGAATATATTATACCCTAAAGAGAGTTGAGTAATAAAAAGGAAAAGATAATACTACCCTAAATAAGAAAATATACCTTAACAGATAGGTCAATTTTACATTTTCTTTTATTTGTTGATTTTTTACGCTGTTTGAAATTGCAAATCAAAGTTAATAAAAATAAACCAATCACATGGGGAACACAATGACTTTTTACGTGGAAGATAAGGTAAAACCCACAAGATCTAGCTCGTCAAAGTTTATTTAACAAACCTAATGTAGTTACAGACATCACCCGGAGTTACTACCTAGTTTGAATTACTGCGACCCACATCATTACACACTGATTCCAAATCCAAATTCAGTCAACTCACTCCACGAGAACTCACCCCTGCAAGTCCAGTCATCACTGTCAACACAATTGCTCCTCACAATCCATCTTCTCAATCAGTGATTTTCGACAATCCCTCCATTTTCAAGGGAATGTTATTTTGAAAGGTTGATGAAAAATGTTCTTTCAATGAAATCTTTGGTCAGAATCACAATCACACAATGACTAATATTTCATTGTATGATGATTAAAGCATACAAGGAAGAGTAAGGTTAGTAAAATGCTCTTTACGGCTGTTCCTTATGCTATGTGGGTTGAGAGGAATGCTAGTCTGCGCAAGGATTCTAGGGGGGGTGCTACCGAGCTTGCTAGGTCTGTCTTCTTTGAGGTGCTTGAGTCTGCTAAGCTTAGTTTGGAAGACATTGGCTTTCTTTTGTAATTTTCCTATCCTTTCTTTGTTGCTTGGGCAGGTTTATTGGCCTTAGCCTTTTGGCTTTGCTTCTTCAGAGGGTATGCCCTCTTTGATTTTATTTTTTTTTCCTGACAAGTAAAGTTGTATTAAGAAGTGTTCAAATGGGGAACGCATCCCTCAAAAACAACACAAGGCCAAATAGGGCCCCTAAACTCCCAAGGAATCCAAAAAATAACTATTTCATCCATAGATTTACGATCTTTCGCCTAGGATTTTGAAAGCCTCGTAGAGTATGTCTCTCATAACCCTCGAACGTTCCTTCCAACTTATTTATTTGCTTCCGAAACATCTAAACAGTTAGAGGATCATAAGAGATCAGATCCAACTTGGGAACTTCAAATTTATTTAATTATAAATCCAAGGACCAGTGCTTAATCTTTAATTTTTGGTGCCAAACTTTTTGCCATGGTGACTAGCGGTGTATAGAGTTTGTGTACTAATGTTGAACTCTCTGCAAGCCATGTAACAGTGCTTAGTCTTTAATTTTTGGTGCTAAACTTTCGTATATTCCTTCTTTTTTTTTTTTTTTTTTTTTTTGCCTGACAAGTAAAGTTGTATTAAGAAGTGTTCAAATGGGGAACGCATCCCTCAAAAACAACACAAGGCCAAATAGGGCCTCTAAACTCCCAAGGAATCCAAAAATCAACTATTTCATCCATATATTTACAATCTTTCCCTAGAACCTAACAAAAAATAGTACTAATAATGGAGAACTTCAGTGCACCAATACAGGTCTCCTTCCCTTCAAAAGATCTTCTATTTCTATCAAGCCATAAACACCACCAGACACACAAAGGCGTGACTCTCCAGAAATTACGAACTTGGGGCCCCACTGTACATCCTCTCCAAGCCTCAAGAAGACCTGGGCATAACCTACTGAACATCGAACTTGGGGCCCACTTTACTTAGGTCTCACGCGCCCGGATATTGCCTACATTGTTAGTGTGATTAGTCAGTTTATGTATGCTCCATGTACACCTCACCTTGAGGTAGCTCATCTTGTTCTTCGCTACCTCAAGGGTTCACCTGGTAAAGGGATATTGTTTGGCAGTAATGGCCACTTGCGTGTTGAAGCCTATTGATGCTGATTGGGCAGGGTATGTGACTGATCGACGATCTACTTCAAGATATTGCACATTTGTTGGAGGTAATCTTGTTTCATTGCGAAGCAAGAAACAGTCTGTTGTAGTTAGATCTAGTGCAAAGGCTGAGTTTAGATCCATGGCGCATGGAGTTTGTGGGTTGTTATTGCTACGTACGATGTTGGGTGAGTTGGTTTTTCCTGTTCATGAGTCAATGAAGTTGTATTGTGACAACGAGGCTACTATTAGCATTGCCCACAGTCTAGTTCAACATGAAAGGACAAAGCACATTGAAGTAGATCGACACTTCCTCAAGGAAAAGCTTCATCTTGGGCTGATTTGTAATCCATACATCAACACACTTGATCGGGTTGCTGATGTTTTGACTAAGGGTGTGAGCAAGACTTGCTTGCTAAATAGGTTAGTCAAGCTGGCCATGATAGATATCTTTGCACCAGCTTGAGGGAGAGTGTTGTCAGGGGCTTATTTGTTATTACTTATATAATGTTGGGGCTTATGTGTAATTTCTAAAACTTGTTATTATAAATAGAATATGGTGGAAGGATGAAAGTATTCTTTCATTCTCTCTCTCTTTTTATCTCAGCCGCTTTCTTCTTTTTTTCTTCTTCTTCTTCATCTCTTACTCTTAATTTGATTATATCTTAAAGTCAACACCATCATGGTATGGATACAGATCTAACTTTGAATGTAGGATCAATACCCAAGTGCTGAGGTAAATCAATTTTATATGCATTCTCTCCAATCTTCTTGATGATTTGATAAGGTCCAAGCTTCTTCTTGCTGAGTTTAGAATAAAAGCCAGCTGGGAACCTCTCCTTTAGTAAGTAAACCATCACCATTTCGCCTTCTTTAAAGCTCTGGATGCACATCCTCCACGTCCCATCTTTCTTTGGAGCATTTCTGGGACTGCACATGGGCTCATGGATTCTCGAATAAATCCCTTCTCCAATAGCTCTCAACTTGTCTTTGGAGTTCTTCATGCTTTTTTGGACTCATTCGATAATGGGGCAAGTTTCGTTGGCTAGTTCCTGGCATCAAGTCAATATGGTGCTGGATAATCCTTTGTGGTGGCATTCCCGCAGGCAAGTCAGCTAGGAAAACTTCACTAAATTCATACAACAATTTGTCCATTTCAGCAGGTACTTCTTGCAGTTCTCCTTTCTTTCCCTGACAAACAACACATATGCAACTCCATTGTCCTCAAATTTATTTAGAAATTGACGAGACGTCTCAAGTAAGCGTGTCCTTCCTCTTTTTTGGACTTGGGAAAGTCTTCATCTATCATTGGAGCAAAGATCACCTTAACTCCATCCTTATAAAAGGCATACAAATTCTTTTCACCAAGGGGTTAGTCTTGTTATCCAACTGCCATGGTCTTCCCAATAAGAGATGACAAGCCTCCATATTCACCACATTACACAAAGACTTTATCTGAATAACTTTTCCTAATTGAAAAAGGAACAAGGCATTGTTCTGTTACCTTTACTTCACCTCCCTTCTTGAAAGCTATCTGATCTGGCTTTGGATGTGGATGCACCTCTAGTTTCAGCTTTGTAACCATCTCTTTATAGACTAAATCCTCACAGCTGCCTCCATCAATGATGACGTTGCAAAGTCATCTGTTATATGTACATCTAGTTCTGAAAATTTTGTTTCACCTCCAATTACCTTCCGGTTGTTTTGGTGTTAACATAGCTCGACATACCACCAGACTTGGAAGATCTCTATCTTCAAATGTGACTTCATTTTCTTCAAAATCCAGTAGGCCTTCATCATCTTGTGCTTCATCAAATTAATCCTTTGAATTGTTTGATTCATCTTCGTTGATAAGCTAAGAAGCGCGGACACGGATATGGGACACGGATACGATACGACACGGCAAATCCAAAAAAATTAGGACACGGACACGGCGAATAGTATATATATATGTGATGTAGTACTTTAAAAATTACTGAGTGTTATTATTTTTCTATCAACCACACAATGAAAAAAAACACAAATCATAACTCATAACTAATAAACTATAAAAGAATAATGTTGCATAGTTATAAAATCAAATAAAAAACAAGACATTAGAATAATAACTAGTATCATTTAATCGTCATTGCAACTTTACTCCAAATACAAAAGCATAGACAGAAAGGACTATTAACATTCATGACTGTTTAACATTCAGGACTTTACCGTTAGCACTTAATATTCACAAAAACCTAAAGGCTAGTCCCCAAAAAAGATACAAAAACAAGTCAGTGTACTATCATCTATTCCCATCCATCATTTGACCTAGGACTTTTACCATTTACAATACCAAAAGGGTAGTACAAAACAAAAAATAGAACATATCAGCATTAAAAATTAAAAAAAAATAAAATTAACATATCAGCAAAAAAAAAATAATAATAAATAAAATAAAAATTTCCAGAAAAGTGTGTCCGAGCCGTGTCCAAGCCGCATCTGAGCCGTGTCCGAGCTGTCCAAGCCATGTCTGGCAGCCACAAGCATACCTCAAGTATTTCTGTTAAACTCTAAGTGCTTATCAAAAACTCGCTCAGAGATTCCTAGTTTGGCATCTCCTTCAACAACCTTCTCCAACAGCCCACAAACTACCGGTTGGTAATGAAAAGTCATCTTCTCACCC